TACAAAGCCACACTGCACTTGCTATGAGGAATTTTAGCAAGCTTTCTTAAGGAATCCTGATCAGTACAAAGAAGACATTCTCAAAGCGCTGGCTCTTATAGTCCTCTTCCAACCCAAAGTCCTCCAATGTATTAAGAGTGCGAAAAATAAACTCCAAGTAATCCAAAAAAGTCTCTGGTTTTACTTAATTCTCAGCCTTCTTTTTTTTTTTTTTTTTTTTTTTGAGATGGAGTCTTGCTCTGTCATCCAAACTGGCAGTTCAGTGGTGCAATCTTGGCTCACTGCAACCTCTGCCTCCTGGGTTCAAGGGATTCTCCTGCCTTAGCCTCCTGAGTAGTGGGGCTACAGGTGCACATCACCATACCTGGCTAATTTTTTTATTTTTTATTTTTTGGGATGGGGTTTCGTTCTTGTTGCCCAGGTTGGAGTGCAATGGAGCAGTCCTGGCTCACTGCAACCTCCACCTCCCAGATTCAAGAAATTCTCCTGCCTCAGCCTCCCGAGTAGCTGGGATTATAGGCATGTGCCACCACACCTGACTAATTTTTTTTTTTTTTTTGTATTTTTGGTAGAGAAAGGGTTTCACCATGTTGGTGAGGCTGGTCTAGAACTCCTGACTTCAGGTGATCCGCTTGCCTTGACCTCCCAAAGTGCTGGGATTACAGGTGTGAGCTACCACGCCCAGCCTAATTTTTGTATTTTTAGTAGAGATGGGGTTTCACCATGTTAGCCAGGCTGCTCTCGACCTCCTGACTTCAGGTTATCCACCTGCCTCAGCTCCCAAAGTACTGGGATTATAGGCGTGAGCCACCATGCCTGACCAGCCATATTTTCAATAACCAAAACATACTACTCCACTTTTGAGAGCCCTGGACAGATAAACCAAATCTTACACAGTACCTGGCACATAATAAGCATCCAATGAATTTATAATAAAGAAATAGTTAATGAAAGGTTCACTCGGCCCAGCCATCTCAGGGGAAGGTTTTGGAGCACGGGCGCCATGTTTATTTTATACTCTTGGCTAGCCCAGACACTACCAGTACCAAGAATTGATGAAGTTGAGGGCGTGTTCACAAAAGAGAAGATGAAGCTCCTCCTTCAGGTCTGGAGCCCTGGTGATTCTGTAACTGAGAGATTTAAACTTACTTTTTTTTTTTTTTTTGTATTCAAATTTACTTAACTGCTAGGGAGAATCATGTATACCATTCTCAACTTTCAATTAGATGTTGCACTGTGGTCATCTCGCAGCTCTGGTTGGATCTCAGATTAGATTCCAGTCTATCTGTAATGTCCTCCTGGCAGAGGCAGCTGCCCTCGTGACTTTCAGCTGCTAGTTATTACTTTTTCATGACATTTCTCAAATGTTCATGATTATTTTCTCTATCCCCAGGAAAACCAAGGAAGAGAACAAGACAAATATCTTGTGTGAAGGCCACTAAGAAAAGTGATAAAAACAAGATCCTTTCATAACCACTCTTTTGCTTAACACAACTGAGCTAAAGTGGTTCTTTTTTAGATTAGCAAAGCAGTCTAAAATGTCATATTTCTTTTCATTAGTGTCATCTTACATAATAATCTGTCATCTTTGAAATCTCTCTGCCCCTTCTGTTCCCCCATATCAAGTTGGTTAAAAGTCCTGTTGATTCTCTCTCTATACTCATTTTGAGTCTGTCCTTTTTTCCTGACTTCAGAGCACCTGGTTCAGTCTTTGATAGGGTTTGCCTTACCTAATCTATTACAACCATCTTCCGCCTCCATGTCTTTCCATAATCAAATACATGCTCCACATTGTAGCCAAGATTATGCTCCTAATGCTAGAATCTGATATTGTTACATCTGCATTAGATAGACTTTTTTTAAAAAAGCTACCCGCAGCCATTATTTCAGGAAAGCACCCCTCCATCATCCTATCAATAATCCTGTTCAGTCGACTGGGTTTCAGGGACTAACCCCGTCCCCACCCCAACCCTCCACCCCGTCCCCCATATCCCCCAACACAGGCAGAGGATCCAGGCCATCTGCTGTGGGCCATGTGACTGGTCTGAGATTGAGAAACGAATCATGTGAATGGTCACATACTAGCCAAGCAAAGTCCTCACTGGAGCCTTCTGCCAACATGGCCAAGAAAGGCACTCTCTTCTCAGTGACCACAGGCTCCAAGGACTGCAGAGGCTGAACCTGTTTGGTACACTCCCTCGGAGAACAAAGCCACACCAAGCCCAAAAGAGGTCAGAGAACATGAGAAGCCAGAAGAAGGAAGGGGCAAAGGATCTAGCAAAAGTAAAGACATCATTGGCATCCCTGACTCTGCCATGTTTCTGTCTTGGATTCACCAGTTATGTGAGCAAATAAATGCTTTTTTTTCCTTGTAAACTATTCTGAATTATCTTCTTGACACTTTTGTGTGTAAAAGCATCATAATGGATATAATCCCACCATTTAGAACTTTTAATAGTTTCTTACTTCCTATAGAAGAAACACCAAACACCTTGGCTCAATATTCAAGTTCCTCAACAAAAGAGACCACCTTAGCTATTCAACTTTAAAACCCTCCTGTCCCAGCCTCAAGAAAGTCTTTCAGAATTTTTTTTTTTTTTTTTTTTTTTTTTTTTAAGATGGAGCCTCACTCTGTCACCCAGGCTGGAGTGCGGTGTCGTGATCTTGGTTCACTGCCAGCTCCACCTACCGGGTTCACGCCATTCTCCTGCCTCAACCTCCAGAGCAGCAGGGACTACAGGTGCCTGCCACCACTCCCGGCTAATTTTTTATATTTTTAGTAGAGATGGGGTTTCACCGTGTTAGTGAGGATGGTCTCGATCTCCTGACCTCCTGATCTGCCCGCCTTGGCCTCCCAAAGTGCTGGGATTGCAGGCGTGAGCCACTGCGCCTGGCCTGTCTTTCAGAAATATTAAAATAATAATCATAGAATCAATACCCTTTGCTGTAGCCACCGTAGACCCTTTGTTCAGAATACTTCCTGAATTGGAATTATTCTTCTACTCTCTCCTTCACTACACTACTCAATCTTCTAGACCCAGCACATATTAAGCACAAATATCATACTTTACATTACAGCTTTCATACACACACATATTTCACCCTATCAGGACTCCTTACAGAAAAGAAACAGCTCTTTCTAAAGTTTAATCTCTAGTACCTGACATCTGTTCTAAGCAGCAGACACCCCACAAATGTTTGCAGCTCTGGTCAGAAATGAAAAACTAAGGATTGACAGATACTAGACTCTTAATTCTTCTTTATATTAGTATTTCTCAAAAATTAAGCCTATCACCATACAACCCAGCAACTGCACACTCGGACATTTATCCCAGAGGAACAAACATACGCTCACACAGGAACTATATATGAAAACTTACAGAAGCTTTATCATAATTGCCCCAAACTGGAAACAACTCAGATGCCCTTCAATAAATGCATGGTTCAACGAAGTGCAGTATATCCATACAATGGAATATTACTCAGCAATAAAAAAGAACTATTAATACATGGAACAGCGAAAATAAACCTTGAGAAAATTACACTGATTGAAAAACAATGCCAATCCCAAAACGTTCTGTATTGTATAATTTCATTTAAATAATAATCTTGAAATGACAAAATTATAGAAATAGAGAATAGATTACTGATTGCCAGGGGTCAGACACAGGGTGCAAGGTGGGAAGTGAGGTATGTGCTTGTACAACATCACAAGGAATCCTTTTAGTGATGGAAATGTTCTGCCTCTTGACTAAATTAATGCCCATATTTTGGTTGTGATATTAAAATTGTGTTTTGCAAGATGTTACACCTTTAGAAAAGACTGGGTAAGTGGTACGCAGGATTTCTATATTATTTCTTACAGCCGCATGTAAATCTACAATTATCTCAAAATGAAAAGTTCAATTTTTATAAAAACTAACCATATATCAAATCTTAAACAAACAAACAAAAAAAACCCAGATACTCGTTGCTAGAGCACCACACAAATAATCATAGTTTCAAACAACAGATCTCACACTAAGTAGCAATACAATAGGGTTTTGGTTACAAGAAGTGAATGACTCTCTCTAAAAGAGGTGAAGACAGTCATTCTGGCCAACATGACAGAAGAGATTTCTTTACATAAGAAAGCTATTTTTAGAAAGTGGGATGGCAAAATAAATTACAAATGCTAACACAAGAACTGTCCCTGTTCAAAACACTGAGCTGGGTACCCCAAGTGATAGTCCATCTCTACAAGCTAGGGCTTCCATGGGGAGGAATAACAGCCTCTGTGAAATCTGATCTGTTTGCCATTTAGATCCATGTGACTCATGGAGGCTGGCTGCACTCATATCTAAAAATACAGGAAATCTGCAGCCTAAGCAAATTTGGCTCATGGACTCATGGGCTTTTGATTCAAATACTGCACATTTGGAGTCAGTGGTTTTATATTTGTATCAGCCAGTGGCAAACGGGGTTCTGCTGCTCAAGTGACAAGTATTCAGTTGAAATCTAGAAGCAAAGAGGATCAGAAGATTTATCTGCTTATATACATTTTATCTGAGAATTACATGACACCTGCTCAGTATCAGGAACATGAACTCTGAGGTCCTCTGGAGCCCAGAATGATGTCTTTCCTTGGGCAGTGGGTGTGTCCCACTAAATACCTGCCCCAAAAGAGAATGGAGGGAGTCATGAGCTATTAAAGACAGAGTAGGGTGTGGCAGTCACATGAGTGACAAGTACCACTTGGACCAGAAGCGCTGAACCTACAGACAGAGAGGGTGTGGTGTCTGGGCCCTGGCATTTTTTATTTTGTCCAGTCCTACTCAGAACCTTTCCCAGCAGCGCCTGAAGCCATGACAACTGACTGATGAGGCAGCTGACTTCTGGGTGACAGCTCATGGATACCCTGATTCCTTTGCCACAGACTGTATCTACTCACAGACCTGGTGACTTCTCAGAGTGGGCCCCCCACCCAGGGACCAGTCTAGCAGAGCCACTGCCGCACTCACCCATCAGGACACTCAGCAACTTCTGCACTCTGGAGTTGACCCCCACAATTCGATACAGCCCTTGCTCGTTGATCCCTGAGGAAAGAAACAGTGATGATTTAATTAGAGACACGTCAGAACACAAATCAGGCCAATCCAGCCAAGTGTACTTTTTTTTTTCATTTTCTCAGTCCTCCTAAAAGCTGCTCTAATTAAAGTCCCCTGTCACTCAGCTCAGCTCTTAGCAAAGGAGTGGGATTTGGTACAGCTGTCTAGGATTTCACGGATGTGCTGCACACTTCAGCCCTCATGTTAGTTCAGTCATCAGAGGCGAAAGCAACTTTCCTTTTCTCTTGCCAAAGGCAGCATCTGAAGAGTTCTAAAAGACGCAAAATGTACACTTTTAAATATGTCATATTTAACCAGTTTTTAAAATTAAAATGCCAAAAATGACAAGATTAAAAATCCATAAAACAGAAAAAGACACTTTATAACCTATTTTTACATATAAAATAAAAATATTGAAGTGTAAGACCGTTTTTAATTTTAAGGAATGTTAGCCAAGACTGAGAAATTAGAAGATCCAGTCATTTGTAATATAAATATTCTTTATCAAAAAAAGACCACCTTTATTTCATTCAACTGTACAATTAGACTAGTAAGGGTTTACTTTTAAATTAAACATCTAAACAAAGAATCAAAAACCAATCCACTGCAGTGTTTCTGTTCATTTAAATACATGGATTAGATCACCACTGTACCACCTACAAAAGAAGGCAATTTAGACCAGGTGACTTGAAACAATTTTTCTTCTGTTAGTCCCAGGCCCATCATATCTGACCCCCTCTCAAGTAGCAGAGCTCCAGCTTCCTATTTTATTCCTCTGATGTCCATTCTTCAACCAGCAGCCAAAGTGAACTGTCTAAAGTGCAAATTAGTTCATATCACCTCTTCTCTTAAAACTCTCCAGTAGCTTCCCATTGCATTTAGACCATAACCAAAACTACTTGGGATGGCCTGTAAGGCCTATACTATTGAGCACTGACTACCTCTGGTTGCATCAATGACCACATGCATTCTGCTCCACACAGTGGCCTTCCTGTCACCTCAATGTGCCAAGCTCATGGCCCCACCTCATAGCCTTTGCTACAGCTGTTTCCTCTACCAGGACTGCTCTTCTCCCAGAGCTTTTCATCATTCAGATCTCAGCTTCAATGCAACCGCTTCAATCTAATGCAACCCACAATCAATACCACTGGTCATTCCCTTACCCTGATTTCTTTCTTTATAGCAGTTAACAATATCTGAAATTATCTTTTTTATTTGGTTCTTTACTTGTTTTTTTCTGTTACATTCTCAATAGAATGTAAACAGTAATTGCGTCCTGTTCACCATTACATCCTCAGCCCCTGGATCAGTCTATGGTACACAATAATAAACAAAACACTGAGTTTATACTCCATCAAGACCAGTATAAAATACTTAGGGGCCAAAACACAATCTTTCAGAAGAAATTCAGGAAAGGACCAACTCTGCAGTACTTTCAACAATACCTATGTAGACATGGAACTAACGAATAAAAAAAGAAGTGGTCTGGAATGATAGGATTTTACAGCTAAAGAGGACCTGTAAACTCATGTACATCATTCTGGATGATTCATGGACTAGGAGGCCCTGGTCAAAACCTAAGTGATGGATCCCAAGTTACTCAGTGTCTGAAACTTGATTCAGTAACATGTCAGCTCGGGAGCTTGAAAAGTCTTAAGTTAAGCGTCTCTACTTCTATCCTTGTGCTTTTCTGGAACTTTACACAATCCCACCTCCCGCTGGACAATTGTCAAATCCCAGAGAGTATGGAAAGTCTGTTCATCTCTGGTCACCATAAATACGTACTCACATACACACACTGCAATAGGGAGATACCCACTTTTTTCAACTATTTATGCTAAAATGGCACCTAACTCATACTGTCCTTATATCTTCTTTGTGCTCAATGAAGACTTTCTTAGAAGTTAAAATACACCATTTCCATTTTCATTTTAGAGGAGGAAGAGGAACTTGTATACCTCTTCCCCTACTTATTGTATTTATTTTGTAGTTTTACATCAGAAAAATTTGTCCTCCTGAGCTACCAGTTTGCATTTACTGCAGACTCTGTGAACAGTTTTAAATGATTAGGTTTCTTTCTTGATTTTGGCTGCTAAAATCTGAGAGATGAACAGGTGGCCCAGCTCAAGCAAGCATATGAACTTTACTGGGGAAAAGAGATTTTTTTTTAGATTCGCTTTTGGCTCCATTTTTGCGCCTCTACCTTTAAAACCTGTACATTTTATTCTCGGTCTTTTCTTTTAAAATTAAAAAAAAAAAATTAAAACCTCTGTTGAAAATTAGGCTGTGCACAGTGGCTCATGCCTGTAACGTCAGCACTTTGGGAGGCCAAGGCAGGCAGATCACTTGAGGTCAGGAGTTCAAGACCAGCCTGGCCAACATGGTAAAACCAGCTGGGCATGGTGGCGGGCACCTGTAATGCCAGTTACTCAGGAGGCTGAGGTAGGAGAATGGTTTGAATCTGGGAGGCCAAGGTTGCAGTGAGTGGAGATTGAGCCACTGCACTCCAGCCTAAGCAACAGAGCAAGACTTTGTCTCAAAAGAAAAAAGAAAAAAGAAAAATTACCTTAGTAATGAACACTTCAAAAAAATTTAGAAACTACAGGTAAGGTAAATAGATGAGCCAAAGTGAGACAGTAAAAATCAGCAGAGAGCCAGTGAGAACACAATGAAACCTGTACAATACGACTGCTCCTCTCCCCACTGCTCCCAGAACGGGCTCATACTGAGCAGCTGCTTTGTAACTTGCATTTTTCACATATTATAAATAATTTTTTAAATGCTGTATGTCTGTAATCCCAGCACTTTGGGAGACCGAGGTGGGCAGATCACAAGGTCAGGAGATCAAGACCATCCTGGCCAACATGGTGAAACTCCGTCTCCACTAAAAATATAAAAACTTAGCTGGGCGTGGTGGCGTGTGCCTGTAATCCCAGCTACTCAGGAGGCTGAGGCAGGAGAATCCTTTGAACCAGGGAGTCGGAGGTTGCAGTGAGCCGAGATGACGTCACTGCACTCCAGCCTGGGAACAGAACGAGACTCTGTCAAAAAAAAAAAAAAAAAAAAAAAAAAAGCCGTATGTCAAAAAATGTATTTCCATTGCATTGTTAGTGATTCAGTTTTTTACTACACAGACATACCATTGTTGATTTAACCCATTTTTTAGACATTTGGCCAGTTCACAATTTTGTACCTTAACATCGCCACTGTGTAAACATCCTTATTGCTCAATCTGGCCCATATCCTTATTTCCTCAAGACCAATTCCCAGAAATGTCACCTACTTCTACTTTATATTCTCTGGATATATCTTACCTTTACAAGCTGCCTTAAGTCTTTGTTTAAGGGAGGTACAGGAGAAATAACTGAACATTTTAAAAAATGTTTCCATACATTACAACTGTTTTGGAAAAAATATCTTTTGACAGTATACATAAGGGTAGGTTTTTAAAATCTCTCTCTTCCCTTTACTTAATGCCTCACAGTCCTTATGAAAAAAAACTGTGCATTTCTCAACTGGTAAGTTATGAGTCCTGCTTTAAAAGAGAGAATTTCTTTCCACTACTTAAAAAGGGCTGGTAGGCTAAGAGGCTATAGAGTAAATGAGATTCACATCTCTGACAATGGTTCAAATCAAATCCAGTGGAAACATGGTTAATAGCTTTTCTCAGTGGTACAACAGACCAGCAAACTCAAAGCTCCAAACTGCTGGGACTGAGGAATCTCCTTTGTGGCAGTCTCTGAAGAAGGGATGGAGACCATCAGGATGAACCAGCTTCCTTGATCTTAATGTCTGCTCCCACAGACCTGGGAAAGATCAGTGTGAACACTGACCTTCTCTCTACCTGGGTGGTCCCCAGGGACTAGCTCCCAAGGACATCTTGGGTTCACAGACCCCAAGATGTCTGTCAGAGAAAATTCAGGGTGTCTATGAACTTAGACAGGAAAACAATTACATCTTTATCTTCACTAACCTACAACTGACATTAAGCATTTCCTTCCTTTATGGATGGAAGCAACAAATCACAGGAGCATTAGCAGTACCTGCAACTTGGTCAGAAATCACAGGCATTTCCATAACACATTACAATTATTATGGATATCTTGAAATATCACTGCTCCCAAATTATGTCGGTTATCAGACCCACCACTGTCGCTTACAAACTGTTAACAAAGAAACACATATATCATGATACCCTGTGTTTTTTAATATTTTAAAAACTGAATTCCAGTAACTGGTTTCTATAATCCTATGTATTTTAGATATTTAACACATTCTTCCGATCAGCCAAAGAAGTTGGTGATACAAAATCAGTTAGGACCTCCTGCTTGAGACGAACAGAACTTGTGGAAATCCACTGACAATGGCACTTGGGGAGCTAATGAGTCACTTAAAGTCAGGAAACAGCAGGCAGCAGGTCTGACTCCTCACCAGATGCATGACCTTCTATGAGAACAATGCCATCTGTTAAACTACTTTACCTCTGGTTTCCACAGCATGGATGCATTTCCTGATTATGCTGAAGCCAATGCTGTCCAACTGCGCAGCTGAAAGTGCAAGAGAAGGGCAGTTAAGTTGCTAGCCATGGAAATCAACCTCAGGATAGGGCTTAACCAATCCAGGATGAATCAATCGCATGCTGTGGTCACACATCCTTTTAATGTTTCCCAATAACAGTACAGGAATAACATCATAATAATAACAGCTGGCATTGAGAGCTTTCCATATGCTAGGTATGGTTTTAAGTGCTTTGCATGTATTATCTCATTTAGTTCTCATAGTAACCTCAAGTTGTAGTAACCTGTAAAATTATCTTCAATTTATAGGTGAAGAAACTGCAGCATAGGGTGATAGGTACCTTTACATTGTTTTGCTATTAACAGAAGCTGTAGAACTAATTACGGTCTCCTTCAAAAAGCACAAATTAAGTGCTCTATAAATGTTGGGTAAGTGCTTAAAATAGATTATCTCACTTGATCCCAGTAAGTCCTCCACACTGACATTATCATCAGCCCATATTACAGATGAAGAAACTGAGGCTTGGTAAAACTAAATATCTTGACCAAAGATGCAGAGTCAATACATGGAGAACTGCTCTAGAGCCCATACCATCAAACTGCCTTAAATGTGGCCCTGAGTTTAGTATAATTCTGCTCACGTGACTAGAAGAAAGGAAAAATAGAACAAAGAAAAAAAGAAGAAAAATGATTCAGAGGAAAATTAAAATAGCCAAGAACAAAGACACTACCTAAGGAAGCAGCACGAAGGCAGTGGGGCCATCCTCCAGGGGGAAATGAGCAAGTGGCAACAGGGTTCTCACTCAGAAAATAAATGATCAACAGCAGCAGCTTCTTCCACAGAAGAGAACCAGACAAGGCTGGAAACTTCTAACATGACAACAAGGCTGGAAATTCCCTAAAATTCACCCCCATGTTTTGGTGACCCAGTGATAATCTTTAAGAATGGGTTCATCTTTGACCTTCTTAGGACAGTGGGACAAGACATTCTACCACTTAATGGTCAGAGTGGAAAAGAAAATGGCAGAAAGTAGAAAAGCAAGTATTTATAGATGATTTGTGGTCATCTCAGGGAAAGTAATAAACTTGTAATACATGAGAAGTGAGCAGAATTTGAACTCATCTCGGATCTAATCCAAATTGAATCTTTCTTTAATTCTTAGCATATAGGGGTAAATTTAGAGAAGATGAATATTTTACTTTTTTATTTTTGTTTTTTTATTTCCATAGGTTATTGGAGAACAGGTGGTATTTGGTTATATGGGTTTTTTTTTTTTTTTTTTTTTTTGGGGGGGGGGGAAACTTTCATATGTTTTCCACAGTGGCTGTACTAGTTTATATTCCCAGTGAGCCACCTCTAATCCAAATTGAATCTTTCTTTAATTCTTAGCATATAGGGGTAAATTTAGAGAAGATGAATATTTTACTTTTATATTTTTGTTTTTTTATTTCCATAGGTTATTGGAGAACAGGTGGTATTTGGTTATATGGGTTTTTTTTTTTTTTTTTTTTTTTGAGACAAGGTCTTACTCTATCGCCCAAGCTAGAATGCAGTGGCATGATCTTGGCTCACTGCAACCTTCGCCTCCTGGGTTCAAGCGAGTCTCCTGCTTCAGCCTCTCTAGTAGCTGGGATTACAGGCACCCACCATCACATCCAGCTAAGTTTTGTATTTTTAGTAGAGATGGAGTTTTACCATGTTGGCCAGGCTGGTCTTTAACTCCCGACCTGAGGTGATCCACTGGCCTCGGCCTCCCATAGTGCTGGCATTACAGGATTGAGCCACCACGCCCGGCCTACACGGGTAAGTTCTTTAGTGGTGACTTGTGAGATTTTGATGCACCTATCACCCAAGCAGTATACATAGCACCCTATTTGTAGTCTTTGTTCCTTATCCCATTCCCACCCTTTCTCCCGTGTCCCCAAAGTCCATTGTGTCATTCTGATGCCTTTGCGTCCTCATAGCTTAGCTCCCACTTATGAGTGAGAATATACAATGTTTGATTTTCCATTCCTGAGTTACTTTACTTCGAATAAGAGTCTCCAATCTCATACAGGTAGCAGCGAATGCTATTAATTATTCCTTTTTATGGCTGAGTAGTAATCCATCATATATATATATAACAGTTTCTTTATCTGCTTGTTAACTGATAGGCATTTGGGCTGGTTCCACATTTCTGCAATTGTCAGTTGTGCTGAAGATTTTAAAACATGTTTTTAATCCCTAAGAATTCCCAAAACCAAACTAAAAAAGAATGCCAATTCCTAAAACAACTCTTCCCAAACTGAAATATTAATAGTTCCTATACTTACATGTACAGTTATTGCTTAGTGATGCTTGTTACAAACACACTCAGCCTCCAGGATAGTAAGTAAAGTACCAGAAAAGAAACAGAAAAACAATGTTTTTCTCCCTGCAGATTACTTGCCATACAAATCATTCTTTTTATTCCCTTAAAATGGTAAGGAGCCTATTAACTCAATCCCTTGTTTTTCCCAGTATAAATAAAGTATTTGCTCTGCACATTGTGGCATCTCAAGATTTCTGATTACAGGCTGAAAGTCAAATCAAAATAATTCTTTCAAATAAAACTCAATTAACTCATGCAGCAGGCATTTTTCAAATTTAGTAACAACCTATAATACAGAAGCCAAATACCTGCTGGAATCCAGGGAAGGATTTAAAAAAAAATAACAGCTTTATTGGTATATAATTCATATACCATAAGTTTACTCATTTTAAGTGTATGATTCAGCAATTTCTAGAGTATTTACAAAGCTGTATATTAATCACTATTATCTAACTCCAGAACATTTTTGCCCTCCTCCCTACCCCAAACACCCATACACATTAGCCATTTCTTCCCTTCTCCCAGCTGTGGGGAGAATTCCTTTTCTATGGATTTCCCTATTCTGAATACATCATATAAATGGGAATCATACACTATGTGGTCTTTTATGTCTAGCTCCTTCTACTTAACATAATGTTTTCAAGTCTTAGCCATGTTGTAGCATCAGTACTTCATTTCTTTTTATGGTTAAATAATATTCCATGGTCCAGATATATCACGTTTTATTTATCCATTCATCGGCCGATAGATATTTGGGCTATTTCCACTTTTTTGCTGTTGTGAATAATGTTACTATGAACATCTGTGTACAAGTCTTTGTGTGAATTGGTATTTTCACTTCTCTTGAGATACACCTAAGAGTGGCATCGCTGGGTCACAGAATGACTCTATGCTTAACTTTTTGAGGAACTGCCAAACTTTTCTAAGCAGCTGCGCCAGTTTTCATTCCCACCAGCATTGTATGAGGGTTCCAATTTCTCCTAATCCTTGCCAACATTTGTTATTGTCTTTTTTATTATAGCCATCCTAGTGGGTGTCAAGAGGTATATCATTGTGGTTTTGATTTTTATTTCCCTAATGACTAATAATGTTGGGAATCTTTTCATGTGCAAGGAGGATTTTCATTCCTTTATACAATAGTCTTACACAATAGAGCCTACCGGATAGCATTTGTCAGATGGGGAATTACTTTTTGTGCTAAAGGAGTTTTCCAAAATGTTTATAACTACGATTTATTAGTCTGGTGAAGCCTTTTAGTTCTTCTTTTGAGAGGCGCTTAAGATCATCTTTTCATAGGAATGAGAATCGAAGAAGTCTGGGAGAGAAAGAATTGTCATTTCACACAGTGCTATGGGGAGCTGCAGACATGGATTCTGAACTTGGATGTTTTAAGAGTAGGCTTGTGAACATGGTCTTATTCTAGGCATCGACGAACTTCTGCCCCAGACAAAGGCTATTTCTTTACCCTCTGAACATCGATAAAAGTTTTGAAAAATTGAAAATAACCTAGCATCTGACAGTGATGACCCCAGTGGTCAAAATGTACAAGCATGTAAAGCCATCAGCCCAATTACTGGACATAACCCTCTAGAGGCAAATCAGTCCTTGAACCTTTTTTTGTGGCACTGTAAGAAGTTGATCCTTTTCTAGGTAAATAATATTTAATGGAAAAGAATAAAATGGACCCTTCCAAATACATCCAGAAAATAATCACAAATTTACCCACTATTACAATTACTTCTTTTGGGAAACGGCAAAGCGAACACCCCACATTCAATCTCTGAATATATGTTCCTCCTTTGGTTTTCCCAATGTTAGAGAACGCCTTTTCTTGGAGTAAGTCTTACACAGATGTTATACATAAAGGTCTTACATATGATATGTGTAATCCAGTGTTTCTCAGTTTATCTTAGTTGTCTAAGTTCAAATGGATACAATATTTACATATTGCAAAGTCAAACATTATGAGCTCAAGATAACTGTTAGCCTCTAATGTATTAAAATTGCATACTGATGATAATTATTTATAGTCTATAAACAGATAACACTGTGTTAAGAAATGGAATCTATTTCAAACAACAGTTTCCCCAACAAGGAATTCAAGAAATACAGGTTAGCAACCACTGCTTTAAACCTCTAAACTGGAACTAGTGTAAATGATCACACTGCCCACTGTCTGGGGACCCCCATCTCTGTCTCTTCTCTTTCACAAACACACATGTACATGCATGCACACAAACACACACACAGAGCTTGATTTCGCCTCTCAACTCGAGTTTCCTGCTGACATCATGATTAGATTACTAATAATTAACAACTGTTTTATTATTTATCAAGGACCGAGTACCATAATGTGATAGGGACTATAGTGTACACATAACCAGATCATTAGTCCTGATCTCTGCCCAGTAGGGATATAATCTAAGTTAATTGAGATCTCCTAGTCTGAAAAGCAAATTCCCACTAAAAGGTTTAGAACACTATCACTACCAAGCCGCGTTTGCTAATGACAGAAAAAGTCTGAGTGACCCGCCAGATGGAGGCGGCTGTCCTTAATCCCCTCAAGCAGGTGATTCAGCTCTTTCACTGAGCCAAGGCTCAGAAAAGGTCAGGGATTTATTAGCAATTTCTGTATCCTTATAATCTCCAGCAATAATCTCTCATTAAATATCTACTAGG